AACTACCTAGGTACCTACTACCTAGGTACCTACTACCTAGGTACTGTAGGTAGCTTGACACCTCACCTCACCGTACCTGGCAGCTGACTTTCAAGACTGACCTTCATCATGTTCTTTCCATCTTTCCCACCAAATGCGCCTGGATTGTCAGTGTTCAAGCACCATGTTGGCATGCTCACGCGTAAGTAGTATATCTCGAGACTGGTCACTCCGTCCCCACCGTCCATCTGATTCGCGGCTTATGTGACACAGCTATCACACGCTGCACATATCAATTTTTGGCCTGCACGTTTTGATAGGCTACAGCTGCATCCTGAAATTCTGCAACAGTACCGTAGGCAGTATGTTATGAATGAGCTTTCTGCCCCTGTGCTATACTCGATCCAAGATGGACTCATACCCCTAAACTGAGCGTTTTGTCCAGAGTGTCATATGTAAAGAACACATGATCTCCAAGACAATATCATAAGATACCGCTGCAAAAGACTCACTACTCAAGCTACTATACCTTATACTGCAGATACATTCACTCTTGAAAAGACCCCTGGACGTCATTGAGACAAACATAATTGAACTTTTATTGCGCCCCTAGAATCGAGATGTGGACTATCCCGTTGCTACATAAATCGAAAGAATAACGGCAGTGGTATACTCACCAACATCAAACGATGAAACAGTGTACATGGTATAAGAAATCAAGATGGTCTAGTCGTCAAGGCAGGAGATCGTCGTCAACTGGTTCTGAGGTTAGACATAGGCATGGTCGTATCTTTTCGAAAAGCCCCCAGGGACCCTCAAGAGCGTTCGCGAGAACCGACTTGGTCCACTCCACAATGTCTGGAAGACAGAGGGAGCCTCGTCCCAAACAATGGTTTAACAAATCCCTCAGAAGCCCACGTGGTGTCTGCCTTGAAGACAGGCTTGATCAAGAAGCCAAAGACACCAGGAAGGTGCTTTATGAAGATGCCACGAGCCCACGGTCCCTCAAGTGTAATAGCCCCCAGGTCTATAACTGCTTTACGCGTGTGATGCGTATTCTCAAAGCCCACTACTCCATGATGGAGTTTTGTCTTGTGTTGAATCAACAGCCCACAAAAGCCCACTTATTGGTAAACCCGCCAGAAGCCCTCAGTTTGCAACCGTTGTGCATCAACCCACGCTTAATCGAAAGAAATCTTGGAGCCAGAGAAAGTGGTAGGAGTGCGGTTAGCACCAGTGCCGAAGCTACCACCACGGCCACCACCACGGCCGCGACCACCACCGCCACCGCGACCACCTCCACGGCCTCCAAAGCCACCACGGCCGCCACCGCGACCACCTCCACGACCACCACCAAAGCCGCCGCCGCCGCCCTGTTGAGGTCTGCTGCTAGCATAGTCCAGGCGGACGCTACGGGACATACGTCCGTTGCCAATAGGGGCACCATTCTTGGCCTCGAAGACCTGCTTGGCATCCTCGACCGAGTTGAAGCTGACATAACCGAAGCCCTTGAGGTTACCGCTATCACTGTTCAGAGTTAGTAACAGGAACGCAGAGGCAGAGTGAATATTGCTACTTACGGGTCGGTGGGGAGGCGAACGCTGGCAACTTCAGCGACATCGCTGAAGAACTCACGGACGGTGTCCTGGTCGACATCGAAAGGAAGGTTACCGACGAAGAGGGTATCGCTCTCAGGGCTGACAGTGTCACCATGACGCTGGGCACGATCGGCAGCGCGAGACTGAGGGTTGGCATCAGCGGGACGAGCGTTGGCATAGTCGAGGTTGATGGCACGGCCCTCAAGTTCAACACCCTGCATGGTCTCGTAGGCCTTGGTGCAAGAGGCAGCATCGTTGAAGTCGACATAACCGAAGCCACGGCTGCGACCAGTACCCTTCTCAGTCATGACGCGGGCGTTGGCAAGACCCTCGATGTGCTTGAAAGCCTCGTAGAGGGCATTGTCGTCGATGGACCAGCTTAGGCTGCCGGCGAAGAGGGTAGTAGCCTCGTCAGTCTTTGTCTTCTTGGCATCCGCATCGCCATCATCCTCAGCCTTGCGCTTCTTCGAAGGAGCCTCCTCGGTCTTCTCAATTTTGGCGCCGGCCTCCTCATCAGAGTCGCTGCTGTCACTGTCATCGGAGTCATCCTCAGAATCGTCGGAATCGGAGTCGTCAGAAGAATCGGCCTTCTATGTATGGAGTTAGTAAGAAGTAGTTTCAGTATATAGAGTTTGTGTGTACGAACCTTCTCGGCAGCCTTCTCGGTAGCCTTGGCCTTGGGCTTCTCCTCTTCACTCTCATCGTCGGAGTCCGAGTCAGAGTCAGAACCGGAGCCAGACTCAGAGTCAGATGAGTCAGAAGACTCAGCCTTCTTGGCGGGAGCGGCAGCCTTAGCAGTACCGTTGACCTTGGTAGCCTTAGCCTTGGGCTTCTCCTCCTCAGACTCGCTGTCGGAGTCGGAGTCTGAGCCAGAGTCGGACTCAGATTCAGATGAAGACTCAGCAGCCTTGGCCTTGGCCTTGGTGACAGCCTTCTTAGTAACCTTCTTCTCCTCCTCAGAGGAGGAAGAGTCGGAGTCGGAAGCCTCAGACTCGCTCTCAGACTCAGACTCGGAAGAAGACTCGGGCTCGGCCTTCTTCTTGCTCTTCTTGGTGTCCTTCTCCTTGGTGACCTTCTTGGCAGCAGCCTTAGCAAGCTCCTTGGACTTGGACTTGGAGGACTTGGAAGGCTTGGTGATGCCTCCAGCCTTGACGGTGCTGAGAGGCTCAGCAACCTTGGCCTTGCTCTCCTTTGTCTTTGTCTTAGCCATTGTGATTATGTATTAAGGTAGAAGGGGGTAAGAGGTGGTAGGGAAAGATGAATGTCTAGTCGGGAGAGAATGAGTAGGAAGAAAAATGGGAAGAAAGCGGATGTAGAAAGCAGACTTTTAAGCTGGTGGTTGGACTCTACTTTTTTTTCTCACTTTTTTTTTTCCTGCCGTCAAAATGGTGGGGCTCATGAGGGCGGTGAGGACCTTTGAACTGACAGGGAAGGTGGTCGATGGACTTGTGGGTCTGATCTTGCCTGAGAATTCAGGTCGCTTATTATTGGACATCCAATTCACCTAGGTTGAGCTTCAAGCTACTCGGACATCCCAAGTTGCCGATATCGACTGAGTCCCATTGTCAGCCTTGCGCGTTGTCCTTCGCTACAATTCTATAATCTACTCATAAGCCAAAAAGGCAGCCTCAGATTCACCATGCCTACTCCCGAGTCCGAGCAATTTAAGGCTCAGAAGCCCACCGTTCCTCCTACATTCAATGGCGTCGATTACGATGATACTAAAGCCTTTAAGGCTGCCGAGGATTCCCTCATCCGAGAGCAATGGGTTGGGGCCATGATGACTCGTCTTGTTGGAGAGGAGCTCAACAAGTGCTACGTTCGAGAGGGTGTCAACCACTTGGAGAACTGCGGCCACCTCCGAGGTCAGTTTGTTTTGACGTGGAGCTTTCCCCCAGGGTTGCCGAGAGCACGCTTTGAGCGTCTACTGACTTTGGAGATTAGAGAGATATTTGCAATTGTTGAAGACGAACAAGATCAAGGGCACCAAGTTCCTGCAACAAAACTATGTCGACCAGAAGGATCAAGAGCTTGATCTCGCTGCCAAAGTTCACACTAGCGACAAGATTGCCAAGCTCAACCACGGCCGATTCTCATCGTAAGCCTTTAATTAAACCAGAATCTGAGTTGGGAAGGAATTGCATGGGTGTGATGTTTGGATGAGAGGGAATTATGGTCTAGATATCATGATTTGAGTGTCTCGGCTCACCAAAAAAAAGGGTGAAGCAATCATCTGACCTTGTATGAATTGTATATATCAGGAAGAAACGAATCAAAAGAAACCATAAGGAAACTACACAGCTGTACCTGTAAGAGCCAATGCATATTAATTGTAGTTTAACATTTTGGAGGCTTCCAATTGGGCGCAAGGCTGACATTTTATATCTTCCGTCACCTCTCATTGGCTCTCCACCAATTGGTCGTCCAAAAATTCTCCAGAACTTCAAGCCTTGTCACACTTCATCTCCCACCAACCCACCACCAGCAATCATGATGTTCTGCGCTCGGTGTCTACGCGCGACCTCCTTGCGGCGCTCGCAGCCGATTCTTCGACAGTTTTCGACAACGACGAATTTCCGTTCCGCAGAACCTCAACTTTCGACTCCTGTTACAGCGCCCGGTGAGGCACAGAAGGATGTCCCTGCTGCACGATCATCATGTGCCCCTGGAACTGTTCTTAATGGCTTAAACTATACCAAGGGTGGACAAGATCCTGTCGCAAAGAATGATGACGAATACCCAGAATGGTTGTGGTCTTGCCTGGAAGTCTTGAAGAAGAGTGCCGATTCGGCGGATGCCGATGCTGGTGACGAATTCTGTATGTTTTATACCTGATATCGTACCGCAAGGCAAGACATCACTAACGACACTAAAGCCAAGTCGAAGAAGCAAAGAAAACTGGCAGCCAAGCGTCAGAAGACCCTCGAAGCCAAGCTGTTGGCTGAGGGTAATCTCGAGGCTCTGGCTCCTAAGATTCCTCTTCAACGCCAGTCTATTAATATCCTCGGAGAGGAGAATCGAGGGGTTGAGCATAACATTGAGGCCGCACAAAAGCGAGAGGAGCTTAAGAAGGCGATGCGAAAGGAGAGAAGAGCCAAGATCAAGGAAACCAACTACCTCAAGTCTATGTAAATTTGAGACGGTTATCTATATATGTACACCACTTAAGAGTATGCAACTCGACTGTACCATACCGCGGCATGAAGAAATGATTCAATAGATTCAACTCATGACCAGCATTATCTCACGATAAACACCAAATCTCCTTGACTACTTCATACTGTGTGATATGTTGATTCATATTTGTCTCGAATATCCTATCTGTTTAACATTCGCATGATGCTCATCTCATCATGAATAGCATAGTTTGATCATCAAACTGTTGGAGAGAGCACAGCTCTATGGGACTAAGGTGTATGATACTCACAGAGCACTCAAATCCAGCGGTACACTGCTGCCTCGTCCTGCCCTATATTTTCTTGTTCCACCTAGAAAGTCCCTGGGTTTCGGGAACAAACCTTCATCCTTGAATTGCCACCTCGAGTCGTTGATCACAATACGGGCCCCACCACCAACACCGGTCGTTTGTGCTGGCGAGTGCTTCGGGCTTGGGGATTTTGCTCCATTGGCTGTCAAAGTGAACATACTTGGATCCAACATGGACTGACGAAGGGATGAGCCTCGAGAACGTGTCGTTGGTGGCGGGGGCGAAGGTGCGCTCGGAGGTGCTGGTACTGATCCAGAAGGTGGAGGTGGAGGAGGAGGTGGCGCCGCGCTTGGAGATGCTTGACCAGCGGCGCGAATGGCAGCTACTGCAGCAAGTGATGGTGTCGAATGTGATGCTGCAGGCGGGGGAGGCGGGGGAGGCGGTATTGAAGATCGTGAAGCCGGCGACTGACTCGGCAGAGGAGGTGCCGCAGAAGGCGGAGGAGGAGGAGGAGCGGCAGGAGCCGATGCACTGTTTGATGGAGGAGGCGGAGGAGGCGGTGGTGCAGGAGGCGCTGAAGATGGTGAGGGCGCGGATGGTGGCAGAGACATTGACGAAGGCTTTCTTGACGTCGGCAGGGGAGGTGGCTTCTTTCCTATAGGAGGAGGGGGAGGCTTGGATCCCACTGGTGTCGTCTTTCTCAAGTTTGCTGCTCCTCCCGGGGGCGGTACTGGAGGCCCTCGCCCAGGGATTGCTGGCGCAACTGCTGACGGAGGCCTTGGTGCGGAGCCGGCTGGAGGTTTGGGTGCTGAGGTAGTAGATTCAGGATCCGATCGATATGAAGAATCGGCATTTGCGCCAGTGTCAATGCCTCCCCTGCTCTTTTTCAACTTGGGCATTCCACCAGCGAAAAGACCACCCAGCTGCGGCGCGGCATCAATGCCTGCCGTCGAATCGCGAGATCCTTGATCACTATTACTCCTCGCTCGTCCTCCTGGGACCGGTGGTGCTAGGCCTCCTGGGGGCTTAGGAGCACCACCCAAGCCGGGGACAGGAGGTGCGCCGCCAACAGGCAGAGGTGCCGACGAATTTGATGTATTTGCAACTTGAGGTGCTGAACGGTCATTGGTAACAGCTTTCTTGAGAGCTTTGCCTTTGTGGATATCTGACAGAAGTGCGCCCTGGAGAGTTGTCAGATTCTGGTCAAGCTAACTATAGCGACGGACGAAGGTATGCAGTAAATGAACATACTCTGTTGCCAGCCCCAGCAGGCGGACGGGCAGGAAGACCTCCTGGAGGAGGTGGAGGCGGCGGAGGAGGACCACCCATGGCACCAGGCGGCGGCGGCGGAGGAGGAGGAGGTGGTGGAGGAGGCATCACGGAGTCGTTCTATGTCCTGAACTGCGTGGGATGGGGTGGTTGAGGTTGTTTGGCGAAAGAATAAGAGATAGTCGGGGTTTTCGGACTTGGATAGTGGGGTCCCGACCTTGAGCTTATATACGAGTCCTACGACACAGCCTGGGGAGGCAACAGTGAATGTGAAGACCAGCCAAGGAGCGGTTATATAAAGGTCAAGGTTGAGCCCAAGGTACTGGATCAGTTTGGATACTCCAAGGCGAGAGCCACCTCATGTTTCGTCATGGCCAATGGCACGCTTACGCTGCATGGAAAGAACCTATGGAAGGCAGCACCGCTACTTACAGTGGACACGCTGGGCATGGATGGTCTGGGCTTCGCCCCGCTTTCTTCTAACCCAAAGTTCCTGAAGATATGGATCTCAGGCTTCGATTATTTAGAGCTTCACTGATGCGACCATGACAACATAAGCCAGAAAAAGCGATTCATTTCACTGCAATCAGGATGACTATAGGTAATTATCTGTAAGAGAGATGAGCAGTATTGTAAGCACAGCACCTGGTCCTGTTTAGATATTCAACGGGCGATATGACTTATAAAGTTGGCTTCCACTAGAATTTGCATGGAAGTGAGCAGCCTATCACAATCGCCAATCACCAACAGGTGGGGGCTTCCCGCTCGCGTATCATGGCTGCGAAATTCAAAGTCGGGTTCTAAATAGCATCAACGACAAACAAGACCGGAAGATTTTTACTTAAGAAGGACGTGGGCAATCGGGGATAAAGAAACGGCTGGGGCCCCTAGAAACCAAAACTGGCCATTATCTCTTGGACACACAACCATGTCACGAGTCGGTACCCGGCACATTGGCAATATCTGCCATCGGTGCGCTTTTACACCAACACCGACAATCGCAAACCAAGCCTTCATTAGCGGAACACTCCTGGCTGCCATTCGCCATAGGAGAAGGACAACGATAAAGGGGCCGCGTGCACGATGGGCTGCGACCGCATCAACATACCCAGACCTCAATATCCAGCCGGCCGATGCCGATAAAGTCCCTCGACAATTGACTGATCCGACACAACTGGCAAATATCGTAGAGAGCACAAAGGAGAAATTCCTGGCCACAGATGGAATTCCGGCGAAGCAACTGACGACTGCGGCCCTTGAGACGTGCCTCAAGGCTGCTCAAGCCCTCCAACCTCAAATCCACAGGGCCGAGGCTCAATCGCGGACGTCCACATCAAAGCTCATGGAGCTGGGAGCAGAGCGAACTGGCCAAAGGCCAAATTCTATGGACCCCCAACTTGCCGATAGCGTCAAAAAGATCTCGTACTCGGCCTATGCAATCATTTCGCAGCCCAATGTCGAAATAACACCCGCCTTCCTTGAACTCTACGTTGCTATTCAGGCCTCGCTAGGCCGGCCTGAGTCGCTTCCTGCCGTGTTCGAGATGTTTGCGACCAAGAAGAAGCCGGTTGTCAAGAATGGAGTGGTCCAATACGTGGCTTCAAACCCCAACGCTGCAGTCAAAGCGATTGAGAAAGGCGTCGCCGATATGGCTTTGCAGACTGCTATTGACGCCAAGAATCTAGATTCAGCACTGGGCGTTGTTGAGGCCTCCTTCAGTCTTCCCGCATTCAAACGTCAGAAGCTTATCAAGCACTCCACTACCCCTGCTCTCGCCCTTGGCTCTCTTCCCTTTGGTATCTTTGGTCTTGCTTCAGCATATGCTGCCTACTGGCAGAACACTATGGATATATCCACAGCAACAGGCCTCGGCGTTGCTGGTATCTCTGGATATTTCTTGGTCGTGGGATCAATGGGTATGATTGCTAAATTAAGTAACAAGGATCAGATGAAGCGTGTGACTTGGGCGCCTGGCACACCACTGCGTCTCAGGTGGCTGAGGGAAGAGGAGCGAGCTGCTATGGACAAGATTGCTTGTGCCTGGGGTTTCAAGGAGCCCTGGAGGCATGGAGAGGAGTCGGGCCCTGAGTGGGAGGGTCTGAAGGAGTACATGGGTTACCGTCAGATGATTCTTGATCGCGTTGAGTTTATGGAGGGCATGAGTTAGTTTCTCCGCTGTTCCCTCCAGTGTATATCATATCTGTACAAAAAGAATACATGGATCAAATATTCTATGCTCTCCCCAAGTAAGCTTCACCCATAGTATGACTTTAGATGGTTGACAAGATGAGAATAAAGAGAAAAACAGCATGTATAGACCTGAAAGTTTGCCATATACCCCTTGCCCCAGACTACCTATGGGTTGGCCTCTGGGTGAGCCTCGTATGTGACCCCATACTCAACAGTCTTTCTTATCACACCAGCAGCACTTGCCAACGTGGACGGCGTATCAGTTCTTTCTAAAGAGCCCAATATGACTGCCTCGCTTGCTTCATCGTTTGGAAGGACGACACTTCGGATAAGACCTTGTGCACTTCTAGGCCCAACATAAGGATTCCAAGCTCCAGTCTGAACTCGAGTTCCATCTATGCGTTGAGAAACACTGTGTGAAGATTTATTTGAATTTGAATTAGGGAAACATGATGGGAGGATAATAGCGATGGGGATGCGGCACATAGGGAGACATGTGCAGATAATAGCTAAATTCTGTTCGATTATAGTCCACATGGTGGAGCTAATTTCGACTAGAACACTGTCAGTGAGTTCAACTTTGTATTTTCACACAAGACACGTACATGTCGTATCAAGAGTTTTGGTTGCCAGATCGAGGGTTGTCATGCGCACGATGGATGTCACTATAACACTAAGTAGAATGAGTTCACCTAGTACTTGTCTGGCCGGATTTCACTTACACACCGCCGCCCATGGTGAGAACTATCATGAGTGCACGTTTGTGCGCGACGGGTAGTTGACTTATCCATATAGGCTGCATTGGTAACATCAATATCAAGGTATCGGTGCCAATGGAAAACCCAGCATTCGCGTGCCAGTTCTTGTTGAGGCTAATGCAAGTTGACTGGATAGATTTGTCCCAGGCACCCCTGAGCGGCTGGCACTGCCAGATTGATAAGGCTGAGGCTATAGACATATGACAGGCAATGGTGCCTATGAGGGTATTGCAACACCTGCGGAACCATTTTTGGATAAATATGCGGAGATATAGTAGGAGTATCGATATTTTGGCGAGATTCGCAGTGAGTTTGTAGAATATCTGGGCGACATAGAATAACTAGAGGAGTTAGAGTTATCATCAAGTGAATTGTTGTTGAAGTTATGTAGTAGATGCTACTCACCTTGAGTGCCATCAACTTGTCATCTGTGGTCAAGGTTTCAATATGACGACCAAATCCGTAGCTGCAGGACACTACCATGACAGTTTGTACCGTCAAGGCCGAGAACTATTTTGTTAGTGTCGGCCCTTTGTGAGTACCAGTATCAGGCATGACTTACAAAGGATATAATGATGGTTGTGTCATCCCAACCCAGACTCGATCGCCTAGCTACACGGCTCCAAAAGCGGAAAAGGATAAAGATAGGCGTCACAACGAAGAAAGCAACGCTTGGGGCGTAAATCAGCACTGCGTTGCTCTCGCTCGGGATATCCTCCGAGATCATCATGGACAATTGAAGACGTGAGGCATGTGCTCAGTGCTATAGTAACACTGAGACGCCAGCACCGTGGAGAAACTGGTCCGGAGAGGGATGATTTGTAACAAAAAACTTGACCCTTTCTGAGTCTCTTGATCTGGCTTCGGTTTCGACCGGGGGCACTAGAAACAAGACTCTGCATTCTTGTTGCTTTTGTGCACGGGGTTAATGGTATACAATATATTAATAACAGGAAAGACCTCCAATTATGGCTCATGATATCCAGAGAATCAATCCTGGGTTCCCTAGTACTCAACAAACTATCTCAGCCGTCACAGTAATGACGGCTTGCTTGAGGCCATCCATTTGTGAAGTAGTCAGCTATATCACTTCAAGCTACATCAGCAATTTGCTACCCAGGGACGGCCAGCTACTACGGGGTGTTCAATCGTAACTTTATGATAGGAGATGACAACTAGAGTTTCTTTTCAAAGTCTCTGACATTGGCTTCATCTGATTTCTGCACCTGGAAGATATTGTGTTATTCTGTAGGCTCCCTCGGTGCTGGTCTACACTTTGCTTTTCTTCCCTGCGAATGACTCTTTGTAATAAGTGGAAACAGAATGATTCATTTGTCCTAGACGAAAAGTCTAAACATTGGTGAATCGCGGCGAATGGCGACTTGCGGTCTGCTTTCCTTCTGGTTCACTTTGTTCCATCATGTTGTTTGTTGCAGGTGAATTCAAGGATAATCCAGGAACAACAGAAAAGGCAACGACTAAGTCACACGAGGGCATTGAATAGGTAAAAAATGGTTCAAATCGAGATTTGAAAAACATATTATGCTTATAGTTGCTTTCATATCAGTAGGACATTATCTTGATACTTTCCACGGTGCTTGGCACAAAAGGCAGCTTGTTTCTCCTCCATGCCATATGCAAAGATTTTACAACATCGATCTAACTTCCCTATGGAACACTATAAAATGAGATGAGATGTGTGGTCAAAAACATTAAAAAAAAGTCTGCAGAAGCCTTGATTCTCTTGGTTCATTTTACATCATTGTATCCATTCCATAGATAACATTTTACAATTTCACGTAACAATAGCCGTTTCTGCTGTCACCTAAAACATGCTTTAAAGCGATCAAAGCACGAGGTAATCATGAGGCACTTCGCTTAAGTTGCTGTTTTTAGACGTGGATGATACCCTGTAGCTCCGATGGATGCGGACAAGGAGACCGAGCAGGCCCACATTTCCAGCCGCTGTACCCCCGGGGGCACCGAGGCCTTGTCCAAGCTATCTTTGTGAGAACTGACAACGATCATCGAGAGGAGCTTGGCTTATCCCCACTGTTGAGTATCATCTCGACTTTGTCTCCGCCCCGCCAAACTTTCATGACTTCATATAAACATCGGTTTACTTGGTGGTGAGTGAAGAAAACAACAATCCCGCTTACT